GATTTTAATTTCATCATTGATGGGTCTAAAATTATATAATGGAACAAACATTTTTCAGTTGAAGTACAACAGTTATGGACAATGTCACTATTTTTGGTTAAGTAATTTTTTTTTTTCCTCCATATAAATTTTAGTATCTCTCTTATAATGTAAGGCCTATTTATTTATTTATTGATTTATAATGTAAGGCCTATTTTCTTCTAATAAATGCTTTTTCTCTCATACTTTATACGTGGATGGAGACTTACACTGAACCGTAATATCAAGAAAGAAATACTTTTTTTTCCTTATTTATGTGTATAAAGTTTACTTATCACTCTAAAGTTTTTGTATATATAGATTCAATTTCTTCAAGAAAGAAATGTTAATGTTGTTGTCTTCGATAAGCGTGATCTTAATACTATTCGCTTTCGTGAGGTAAGCCTAAAAGTAACTTATTTTCGCATGAATTTTCCTCTCATTTTATAAATAATTTATAAATATATTCTACTTTTTTTTTTATAGGCAAATGCAAAGGAAAAACACAAAAGCAATATCAAAGGAGACAGAAAATGTTCTCTCTTCTGGCAAAGGAAAGGAACATGCATATCCCATGTTATGGTTTCTCAACATTTTAAAAAGTTTGTTTTTCGAATATTTATTCATTTTTTTTAATATAGATTTTTTAAAGAATTGCATAATGTCTATACTCTTTTTTATGTACATTTTAAAAAAGTTTCTTTTTCCAATATTTTTTCAATTCTTTTGACTGATTGTGAAATATTTTTTTAAACCATGTTAAAGTAAGCTTTTTTACAAAATGCTAATGCATTTGTATGAACACTAATTTGAACCCATGTTGCATTTAAGAGAAGAAAACGAAAAATGAAAAGGAAATTATAGAATATAATTTTTTTAATTTTATTTTCCTTATAAGAAGTTCTTAAGGAAAGAAGAAAAAGACAACAATCAAATTTAATATAACCATCAAGCAGAGGGAAGAGTAACGTATAAAACAGTACATGCTAATATTCACATTTTGCGTACCCAAAGATCTACTACCCACTAACCTCTAGGCATACACTTGGGTTTTTGGATTTAGAAACTTTGCAGGGGTAGCAGAGGTCAACAGAATTTCACTCACTAATTAATCTAGATATGAGTTATGAATTACATCGTGCCTTCAGGCACAGGCATAAGCTACAGATCTTTCCAAACAAAAAGTATGAGAGATACATTTGGTATTAATCTAGATATGGATTAATCTATATAATAAGGCACAATAGTTTTTGAAAATGTATAAAATGTATGAGAGATACATTTGGTATTAACGGTACAGATCTTTCCAAACAAAAATAAACGGCTGAGATCAATTTTTTTCCCCACCCGTCTCTCTGTCTTCCCTTTTCATCTCTGCCCAAATCCACCCTCTTTCATACGCTCTTCTCTCTACCTCTCTTCTCTGCCTCTCCTCTCCATCTCTTGACTACTGACTACCTCTCCTCGCCACTTGATGCCTTTTCTTCTCTCAACCACTGACGCTCTTTTCTCACCCTCCTCTTTCGCCATTTTGGCGAAGGAATTAGAAAAAAAAAAATGAGAGAAAGAGGACATTGTCGTCCTACCCAGTCGACGCTAACGTTGACGCCGACGCCCTGTCCCGTCGTCGTTGACAACGAAGCTGTTCTTCATAAGGTAAAAAGGCCCAATAATAGATTTGAAATAAATAGCTGCGCCAGAGAAGATGTCGCAGGAAAGTTAGAAAAAACAACATATATTGTTAACTGCTAAATTACAGAGAGAAGGTTGAGAAGCATTTGTAATAATGCAAAATTTATGAGAAATTTGATTCCATGTGGGAAAAATATGAAACTTAGAGGAAATGGGTTATATTGGCATTCTGGAATTATTAGGAGTAATTTTAAACTTTATGACTTTAGAGATTTGAGTAAAAATTCAGGTAGTCCTCCAAAATTATAACTCATATACCCTTAGTTAGTTTCCTTTTATTTAATTTGTTCTTTATTACTTTCTAATTTTTTGTTGATACATTAAATTCATTTATAGAGTTCCAAAATACATTACTTTTTGAGTTAACAATAAGTACAATATACTTCTCTTCCAAGTTTAAAGCTACGTGATTAGATAAGACTGACGCTTTGCTTAAAATACCTATAGAATGTAATCTAAATGTAGACCAAGACTAAGGCCTCGTTTGGCAACAGGCCAATTTAGCCAAAAAGTCAAAAAGTTACTAAAAAAGTCAAAAAGCCAACAACACATACCAAAAAGTCAAAGATTCTCTTTTCTCTCTACTTTTTGCTCAACTTTTCGTAAAAATTCAAAAAGTCATCCCAAACATACTTGTTTTTTTTAGCTCATATTTTAGCCAAATAGCCAAAAAGTTACTAAATTAGCCTGTTTCCAAACGAGGCCTAAGATTAGGTTAATTTCCAAACATGTTATTCCAAGTTTGGTCTTACAATGCTCAATTTGGGTCTAAAGTGCTTCTCTAATGGTTATATCTACAACAATGATTCATCCCACTAAAAACATCACAACTAATAGCACTAATGTATTAAAAAAATAAAAAATAAATAAAAAAAAATACAACTCCAAGACCAAAACATCACATCATTAATGGCGAGACCCACTGCCACCTAATTAGTGGGAGCACTAATTAGTGCTCCCAAGCATTTTTCTTATATCTAATACTTGAGATTGCATAAAACTTTCTTCATAAGGTAACAACATAGATTTGAAATAAAAAGCCCTAATTTAGATTCCGTTTAAATGGGTTTCATTTTTTAAATGGGTGTTTATTTCAGTTTGATTTTTGACATGGTTTTGATTTATGAAATGTTTGATTCTTTAATGGGAAATGGGTGCCAATTCATGAAATGGGTCCTAAATACTTTTGAGTTTCCTAAATACTGATTCTTTTTGTGTTTTTCTATTCTTTCATTCTTTTTTTCTTTATTTGAGAGTGGGGATTGGTAAGCTGTGATAAAAAATAAATATAGTTTCAGCATTGCCTATTACTTTTTTGAGACCTTGTAAACAATTGTCCCCATACTGTATGTTGTTCATATGTTGTTTATCCATTTAATTTTATTGCATCAGTTTAGTCTTATAGTTTATTTAGTTTAAATCAAAATTTTGTTTTTGTTGTGGCAGGGGGTTGGCTGCTGCCCATGAGCTAACCAAATGGATTCAAAAGGGGGTTGATTTGATATTTTGCTTATGGTCATATATTGCTTAACAAATATTCCAAATTTATTTAAGGTTGGAAGAAAAATGAATCTGAATGGGTGTATGTGAAGATTGAAGAAGATGATGGAGTGTTACATACACAAAACTGATGGGACTACACTGATATAATAAATGGGTTTAGAGTTCCAAGAAGAAAGAGTTGAAAAAAATAAAACCCAAGAAAAATATGGATTGATTTTTGTAAATTAATGTTTTTATGACTCATTAATTTGTATATGTGTTGATAATGTGTTGTGTTTGTTGGTAGTGTTTGCATTGGGTAACCTATTATTATTGTGCAATAATGTTTGTGTTTAGTTTGAATTGGATGGTCTATGAAAAACCTTTTATTAGTGTGACAATGCGTGTATTTGTTTTGAATTGGGTAGTCTCTATGAAAAACCTTTCATTGTGTGATTTGACTTAGATTATCATTGTGGGTGTTCTTTGTTATCTTCCTGCCATATTTGAAAGTGGAGTTTTGTTTCACATTCTGCTTATGGGTGGATTTGAATAGTTTGAGCTATTTGATTGTTTTATTTATTTATTTATTTATTTATTTATTTGCAGCTGCTCTTCTCAGGGAAGAGGTTGCAGTCCACCTGATGAATTTAGATTCAGTTTTGGAACTAAAATTTGACAATATTATATGTTATGTTATGTGATGTTGTGTGTGTGTGTGTGTCTTTGCCAAGAATCTGTTATGTTATGTGATGTGTGTGAGTGTGTGTCTTTGACAGTATGTGATGGTTTTGATGGCTTCTACTGGGAATCAAATTTTTTTTTAATCAAATTTTTTTTTTTTGAGTGTGGCAATGGGTTGGCTGCTTCCCATGAGCAAATTTAATGGATTCAAAAGGTTGGTTTCATATTTTGCTTATGGATGGATTTCAATAGTTTGAGTTATTTGATTGTTTTATTTATTTATTTATTTATTTTGCAGATGTTGTTCTTAGCATTTCAGTGCACCATGTGATCTCATTAAAGGTATCCTAATTCTTTAATAGGATGCTTGGCTTCCATTGGGAATTAAATTGTTCAATCTGTTTTTAGTTTATGATTTTTTTTTAAATTTAATATTGTTATTTGTAAGTTACTGAAATAAATTTACTCATTTCTAATATTATTAAATTAACTCATTTCTTATAGCAGGTTTGTTTATGTAGTGTTGATTAAATTTTTTTTCCTTAAATTTCTTTATGGATAATTGAAAGAGGAGGGCAGAGAAGTTGGGCATAATTGTTTGTGTTTCTCTATGGTTTTGATTTCATTTATATGAATATGAAATAGGTTACTATGAGATGACATAAGTCTTTTTCAATGAAATGAGTTTCTATGAATGGGTGACTTCTATTTGTTTTTCTGCTCTAAGATGAGATAGGTCTTTTTTTATGAATGGATCTTTCATGTTCAAAAATTGTCACTCATTATGGAAGGTTGAAACAGCGATTGTGCTTTATTGCTATTTACTACCTTCAGCTTGGTTTGCTTCTTCATATGTTCATAGAAATGATTTTTCATGCTTTTTGGCACTTACATTTGTGGATTGAAATGTCACATTTGTTTGGTTACTAATTAATAGTTGTAAAGAGCATGCATTTGTCTATTCTCTCTCAAATTGGCCCCTCTATAAAAACATGTATATTCAAATTGGTGAATCAAATAGTGAGAGTTGGATCTTATTTTTAATAACAAACAATGGACAATTTTTAAGGGGTTGATTTTGGATAATGGAGCTTGCTTGCTTATATTTTCTATTCTTCCTTTTGTTTCAGGTACATATGCCTTGGCTTGAAGGAGAGTTTGATTAGCTCATAAAAAGTTGTTGTGACTTTGTTTGCCGCAATGGTTGATTAGGTAATTGGTCTGCCTTCCATTGATGGATTTGTCAATAATTTGTTGCTTATCTATTGTTCAACTTGGCTTCATTTTACATGTGAAAATTAAGAATCTTAAATTTTTATTAGATAGGCTTCATTTACATGTAAGCTATCTTCTGGATTATTAGCTAGGTTCAGAACCAAGAAGAGCGAGTACTTGATTTTTTTATGGTGATAATTTGGGTCTTCTATTTTAATTTTTGAATTTCATACAATTTTGATGATAATCATTGTGATAATTTTTACTATAATTTTGAAAATTAGCATTGTTTAGAATGCCTTTATGTTTGATTTTGCTTTGTTTTGATTAGACTTGAAAAATTTAGGTTATACAATGAATGGAAATGTTGGTGGGTCTATTAGTGAATGTTTCAAGAAATGGAGAGCAATGGCACAGCGGCCCATTAAACAAGTGAGCCTTTTTTTTTTCTTCACAATTTTATATATTTGTTTGGGGAACTAGAAGTTTATTTATTGAGTTTCTTTTTATTGTAATTTTTGGGGGTCGACGAGAAATTTAGATCTGGTTGATTCAATAGAATAACTTTGCCTATTACTTTTTCCACATCCTATAACTCTACCAGTGCTTATAATCAATTAAAATTTTCATTTTAAAATTTAAACACTATAGACACAATTGTATATTCATTTTAAAATAGATGTGACAAACAAATATGATTGTGTGGGTGATTTTTCGATCACACTGCCCGACTCAGTATTCAGCTGGAGAACACTGGCAGAATAGATGACACCTGGCTAACCTGTAACAGAAAGAGAAGATTCCGGCGGTGGTTCGTCCACCCGGGGGCACTCCGACGATCAAATCAGTATATCTCTCAAAGATAATCAATAGTGTAAATCTTACTGTACTAAATATAAATTGCGTACCTTAGACCCATGGGGGTACCTCTATTTTATAGTTAACTCAATCTTAGTCCCAATAGAAGCCTGGCTTTTATGGACTCCCGTTCAGTACTTATTTTGGACTCCTTAAGAGATAAAGATAAACTTCCTAAGAGCTTTATCCTTATCTTGGCTAAGTCTTCTCTTTATTCTAGGACTCTTGTCCTTTATCCGCTTATCTCGAAATCCGATATCTTTGGAGATTACCTCGGCTTCACCGAGATCATCTCGGCATCATGACCAAGACACGTGACACCTCGGCTGACACGTCGGCGTCACCTTACCACGTGTTGGTACTCAAAAATATATCCCCACAACTGTCCCCTCTGTTACCTTGGCATTCTGAGGTGATGAAACCTATATCTGTGCTTCCTTTTTTCCAGTACGCCAGTTTACAGTATTTCAGCCGAGATCATCATGTTGGCCGACATGTCTTTGTTAAAGAACAAGAACTTCAAGAACCTTTTCACACGTATGAGCTGTCATACAATAAATTAACCGTTTATGACACGTGTCTCTCCTATATTGGATCGTACCTGTGACGCGCTAAAAAACCGCCTCGTGCCTGCGTGCGCCGTCTGACAAAGCCGCCTTCCTAGGTGCATTGATTGCCCTCTCTTGCTGCCGTTTCAAGTTTTTGACAAAACTTGTTTTTCCCTCTTTCATGCTCTTCACTTTTACATCGATTCCTTTGCTTTTCTCTCTCTGGCTCTTGAATACGCCATTGTTCCAGGCCTCAAGCTTTGCAACTGTCTTCATTCTTCCTTCTGGTGAAGCTTCCGCCGTTCCTGTTACTTCTGTAACTGTTGTCTGATCTCAACGATTCTTACTCTGGCTTCTTTTCTTCGGTGAGTTTACTGTTCCTTCCGTTTTTAATTCTTTGATGTTTTCTATTATTTGCTGCCATTACTGTATTTGTTCAAACCTTTAACTTGTGAATCATACATCTGAATGTGTTTTTCCACCATTTTACCCTTGCCCACATCTTGAACATACGGACTGTTTCACCATTTTTTTGTACTTTTGCCATTGTTCTTGGCCCTATACTTCTTGTATTCTTTATGCTCTTGATAGACCATCTCTGTTCTTGTTTTTGAAACTCGTTCTTGTTTCTATTTTCCAGATTCGTTCTTTCAATCTTCATTTCCATAGCTTTAGGTTTGGGATTTGTCTGTAGAACCCACAATTTAGGGCAAAACTGAAACATCCTTTACAATTTTCTGCACCAGCTCAAACCCAGGTTTTTTGCCGAGGTCCCAATAACCCTATTTGAAACATCTTCTTTTTCAAATCCAGTACCTTTAGTTATCCCGACATTATAGGTATGTGGAAACATCGGGTAGACACCCCATCTAAACTAGAATTCTTTAGACAAGAGTTTGAAATCCCAGCCGATGTCAATCTGAGGTTGGCTAGGGATGATGACTCCATCATGCCTACTAATCACTCCATGCCCTTCCCTGTTGTTGCCTTTATTGAGTATGGACTTCGGTTTTCACTTGACCCTTTTTTCCGTCAAATCCTTCACTTCTATAAGTTGAACCCAATGCAACTCGCCATCAATTCTTACCGAGTTATTACTGGTACCATAGCCTTAGTTAAACAAGAGAATTCCAGGATTACGCTTGTCGATTTTCGGTACTGTTATACCATGTGTCGCCTTAGAAAAGACACGGATTATATCTACTACCTCAAGCCGAGATCCACTGAATATAAAATCGTAGCCGACCTCCCAGACTCCAACAAGGGAGCTGGAGATGATTACTTCATCGTCTCGGGCAATTAGGAGTTCCAGCCAAACGATGACCTTCATCTTTATCCCTTAAGCCGAACAATTCTTGGGGAAGGAGCTGGTAAGGGCCACCCTTCATAAGTTTTTTTGTCTTCTTGCACAAAGTTTTCAATATTCTTGTTCTAATGTCTGTGCTGTCTTTATTTTTGCAGTTTTTCCTCAACCTCCAAAGAACTTTCGCCAATCCTTCCTCCCCAGAAAGGATTTGAAGAAGTTACTGAACCTTCCAGTTCACAAACGGAAGACGCCTTTGCTCCTCAACTTTATCCTAACTTATAATTCAGCTCTGCCCGACGTCCCTAAGAGGAAGAAGAAAAGCCTTTCGCCACCTTCTGCCACAACCCCACAGACTGCGTCCACATCTCGGACAGATCAAAGGTCAACTTCTGATCCAACTGATCAGCCATCAACCTCGGCTCCATACTTGATTCCAATATCACAGCGCTGTCGTCGATGCCGAACAGTTTCTACTGCCGAGATGGGTCGCCCAAAACCAATTGCAAAAGATCTTTTGGCCAGCATCCCTTCTAATGTTGATGCACAACCAACACAAACCCTGCCTCCACCGAAGCCGAAAAGAATAAAAAAAGCTCAGCCAAAAGCTAAAGTTACTCAAGTTGAGTTTGAGGATGCTTTGCCAATATCCAAGTTGGTTGAGAGTGACAAATCTCAACCCTTTGTTGGGAAGAGGCGCTCTGAAGCCCAGCCATCAGAATCTCCAAAATCCAAAAAGCCGAGGTCATCTTCTGGGACCACCTCGGGGTCTAAAGAGAATGATGCCCCCTGGGCCCCAAAAATTACTCTAGAAGATAAGCCAGTCATGGCTAACGACAGTGCTGAAGACATTAACATCAGCGTAGACCTCAGTACTGCTCTGTTCTTCCCCGGCGATCTTAATCGAAATGCCGAGATGAGCGAGTACGAAAACTACGCTTTGATACTTCAACGTTCTGTTCAAGTAAGTGTCTTTCATCTGGCACTTTTTTCCTTCTGTCTTATATTTAGAAAATTTTCTTAATAACTTGTGTTTTGTTTTGTTTTTTTTTTTAGCCTATCCAGCATGCCCATTCTTTCTCCATTCAATCTTTTGAAAATCGGGAGAAGTTAGCCGAGATGAAGAAGGAGTTCTCTTCTCTTGAAAAGACCAATAAAGGCTTACAATCAAAGATGAAAAAGTTGGAGGACCAAGCTGAGGTTGCAATCAAAGGCCAAACTAACGCCGAAGAGAAGGCTGAATCTGCTGAAGCCATCAGAAAGGTTTCTGAGTCTCAGAGAAAAGAGGCCGAGGAGAAGATGGCCCAAGCTGAAAAAGAGCTTCAAGAAGCCTTGGCCACAAAAGAGGCTGAAATTAAAGACGCCGATGAGAAGGCATACGCTCAAGGTATGGCCGATGTTATGGAGGCTTATGAACTTCAAGTGAGGCAGGCATGCAACAAGGGTTTCACCCTTGGTTGGATGTCTCTTCTAAAGAAGCTTGAGGTCTCCGAGGACTCGCCACTTTGGAAAGCCGACGCCATTCCTCTTCTGTTCCCTCCAACTTCTCCACCAGCTCAATTTGATGTCGAATCTGAATCTGAAGACGAGACCCTGGTGAGAAGACCCAAGGAAGCAACCGGGGCCAAGTCCCTCCCTCAGAATGAGCAAGTCCTGGACTTGACTCAGGATGAGGAAGGTGAGGAGGTTCCTGAAGATGCTACTGCTGAGAAGGCATCAGCCGACGTCTCTTTTGTCGACAAGAGTATTGATCAAACCTTGCAAGAGATTGATGCTGAGCTTGCGGCGGGGAAGGCGGCCGAGGTGGCTTCTCAATAGTCTTCCGAGGTCCCAACCCAGCTTTCTGGCGATGCTGAGGAATCTTAATTTTCATGTCTTTTTCTTCCGTCTTTTGTATGTTTGCTTTTCTTTTTTGGGAACAATTGCAAGCTGTTAGCCGACGTGTCTTTTCTAAATATTTAATACATCTTTCCTTTTCTGAGTGTTTGTATCTTTGTCTTTTCTTTACTACTTCTGTATGTCTTTTACATACTCTTCCTTCTTTGTGCAATCTTCTCGGGGTGACACACCTCGGATGGCCAAACTTCTTAGTTTAACTTAACTTGTAAACTTTCAACAAGTGTTGAACATCATATTGGTTTAACTCAACTTGTAAATTGCTACAAATTTCAACAAGTGTTTTAAACAATAATCTCGGTTTAACTTAACTTGTAAATTGTCCACAAATTTCAACAAGTGTTAAACAATGATTTCGGTTTTAACTTAACTTGTAAATTGTCCACAAATTT